ACTGCATGTGACCAAGTGGGCATTGAATAACATCTTCTGAATTAAGAAATTCATTGCATTGCTAAAATCAGAGCCTCAGGAGGTACCAAACCATAAAAATACTTTCCCTTTCACTAAGTTCTGTTATCAACTTCTGTCTTGTAAGCCTTACAGTCATAAAATTCTAAAATAGAAGTCTAATAAAAATTTTAATTCAGATGTAAATACTTTTCATCTACAATGTGCCATTTTTAAACAGGCTCTTCCTTGTTAATACACAAGGCTGTAAAGTGAGTGGCTCCACAGAACATGCAAGAAATTCAGAGTATTCTGTGGTGTTCAGTCTTCCCATCCAACATGTTAAGGCCAACCAGTGTTACCAAAGGAACCACATCCTATGTTCTCTGACACGGTCACATTTCCTTTCTTAAATATAGTCACCTACTTATTTAATTAGTTAGGTCTAAGTAGTACTCGCACGGTAATCTTTATGTCAATATGAGTAGAGTAAAACCTATTTTAAATTTTGTAAAATATTAATTACATGTAAAGATTTCAAGTAAAGCTGACAGATTTACAAACTGATAGAACGACAGGTTAAAACACAAAAAATATCCAAACTTAGGATTTCATTGTCATTTGTTAGAAAATCAAGAAAGTTACCAGTAGAGGGCACTCACAAAGTCGGGGAGAGCTGGCCACACACAGTTTTGAAGACAACTGCACTTACAAAACAAAATTGCTTCTAAAATAAGACTATATTTAAGTCAAAATATTTTAATACATTATAATAAGACAACATTATATTAACTTACCTGAAATTTAAATTTATGTTATGCTTGAAAATTTAACATAAAAGCGTTACCACAGGGGCAAGAACTTGACAGCTTGAGCCATAATTAAGCTGTTTATCACGCACGCGGCTTCGCCTTCAGAACTACTGATATTCTGTGCTTCATTCTTTACGGAGTGCCATCCATCCTACGCACAGAGGGAGTTTAGCCACACCTCTGCCTGCATCCTCCAGACACTGGCAGCACCCCTTCCTCCCAAGGTGTGCTGATCTAAAATGTTTCCAGTTATTGTCAACGCCCGCTGAGAAGCAGGGGCGCGGGCCCATTCCTTGTTGATAACTGATATGTGTTGTATAAAATCAGAAAAATGCCTGCTTGCTGCATTACATGAGGCTTTTTCTTATATGGCTCTTCAATACTGGTTTAATACTATAATTTTTCTGTAGTGTAAAATTAATTCTATAATTAACATGGATAGATCAAACTAAGAGTCCACTTTACTGGGTAGGAAACTGTTTCATTGAAGGGCGTGTAACTTGGACTGAACTCAAAATTTCACATTAACAAAAGTATGCAGGTCAAAAGAACTAGAGCTTGAAAAAAAAGCTTTTCCGTACTTATTTTAAACTAGCATATTATATGCATTGCTTACTACATATTTACTAATCAATTGAGTTCTATGTCTATAACTACCTGTATTTTTTTAAGACCAGGGTTTTTTTCTTCCACCAAATGTTGCCTTGAGAAAAACATTTCAAAGGATGTATTCTGACAAAAGTGATCTCTAAACCATTTCTAGTCAAGTATTGTTTCAAGACTTGCTGTGAGTCATGCCCCATTAACAAGATATTTCATTACTTACTTGAAAAACTTTAGCGGACTTCATGAAAAATAAAAATATTTCAGAACAGAAGTAGAGGTGATTATCATGTATCAAATATGAACATGCTCTATGGCCATGCCTGTGCAAGTCTGCATGATGTCCCTGCCATGAAACTGTCATTAGTAAGTTAAATTAAAATGGTAGTGTACTGGTGAATCTGAATTAATCCTAAGACTTAAATATTTCCTTAGTTTGAAAGACAGGTACCTTATCACTTTTAAAACACGTACCAGGTCACAGTACAAATTTCACTTGTTTTCACAAAATGTAAATTCAGTCATACCAATAAGCTAAATGTCCTTAGACAAGCTAGAACCCCTCTTAAGTTTATGAAAGAAATATGACTGTCATCCTTTACCTCATGAGGAATGTTTTTTCATTCTAAATCACCAAAAAAATTGTAATGGTATTACCTCATTTAAATTTTTAAAAATTTCTTCTCTTTAAGATTTATTTTTATTTTTACTTTTAGTGTATGAGTCTTCTGCCTGAAACTACATACATACACCACTTAGTGTGCCTGGTAACCTGCAGAGGCCAGAAGTGGGTGTCAGATCCCCTGAACTGGAGTTACAGACGGTGGTTAGTTGTCATGCGTGGCTTCTGCAAGAGCAGCCAGTGCTCTGAAGTGCTGAGCCATCTCTCCAGCCCTTTCTTTCCAGTTTTTAATGTACAGAAACTAACAAGAATTCCAAATGTGCAGATACTCCCAATGAGCTACAGCCCTGGCCCTTTTACTAGTCCTCGTTTTAAGATGGGGTCTCACTAAGTTGCCCAGGCCGTCCCTGAATTTGAACTGTAACGCAGGCAGGTCTTAAACTGGAAATCCTCCTGAGTAGTGGGATTATAAGGCTGTTACCACACCCAGCTTCCTAATTTTTTTCTCCGACCACATTTTTCATCAATAACAGTGAGCTCTCCTATCCGCCTTTTAAACTTTCCATAATAGTGTAAAGTCAGCACTTTTATTTAATCAGCTCTCTTAAGTTCTCCTGCCTTATAGCTGAATTACACACAAATTAAGTGTCAATTCCCTCAGAGACTCACTGTAGCTAGTGAGATAAGCCATCATCTCTGATACCTTTCCGCAGGTGGCTAATTTCTTGGGGGAATGTCAGCTTCAAAGTTCACAGGGAATCATTGCTTCCCGGAGTCATCTTTGGTCTTGGCACAATTTTAATCAGAGTTGGAATCAAAGTTTATGAACTTTTTCTACCCCACAAATAATGGATTAATTATTAGGTTTATTTCAAATTTTATATTACATTTTTACAAATTTGACCAAACATCTCCTAAGCTATTTGTCACACTCTTGCACTCATGACCTCAATCTCACGCTGTACGCAATCGCACAGCTTGATGACCTTATGGGAGGCAGAGTATAATGGAATTGCTCAGATTTTCAGGGCGGATGGAGATGAGTTCTGCTAAATCAACTCCCAAATCCCAGGAAAACCTCCACGTGTGATGTGCATTCAACTTCCTTTTACATTTGATTTAAATGTCAGAAATGCCAAGTAACCTTGGATTTGGAGCACCAATCGAGGTGAGTTAACTTTTCCATCTAACACTGCATACAACACCAAACTGACTCGTTGAAAATAAATACATAAAGGATTATTATATAGGTGCACCACTTCGATCAAACTGTTCCCCTTCACGAATGTAAATTCTTAAACTTGGAAGTCAAATAAAAATAATTATTTTGCTTAAGTCATGAGGATTTTTTTTCTTTCTTGCAAATTCTAAATGACTGAAAAAATTGTAATTATTTAAATTTTAAAAAATTTCTTCTCATTTGTTTTAAGGTTTATTTTTATTTTTAGGTATGAATATTTACAAATAAGCATGATTTCTCCATTTTCAAGGTACTACCAAAAATACTTCCTTATTAGAATTTAACCATCCTCAAAGTTCTACGTTATATAAACATTTTTCCACATTCACCAGTGACCTCAGAATCCATCTCAGTATAGTGTTTCTTCAAGACCCAACAAAGAACTTAGGGCACTCTGACCTGTTTGAGAGTCCAAAGTCTAGGATCCCACAGCTCTAGGAAACTCTTCACAAGTGATTTTTTTTAAAAAATGGTACATGGATGAATTTGTACTGAGGGCATATGGGTGCAAATGCTTGATGGGATAGGGCAGATCATGTGTGGTGGAGTGCATGGGGTTTGGTGGGGGGATGGGGGTCATGGATGGGGAGGGGGTCTGGGTTGGCTGAGAAGTGTTTTATGAGTATGCAGAAGCTCAATAATTTTTTTTTTTAAATGATACATGAGCTTGGGATATAGCATAGTGGATAGTAGGCTAGTCTTGCCTACCAGAGACCCTAGGTTCAGTCCCCAGCACCATCTAACATGAGCTGGTGGAAGCACACATGTCTGCACTCCAGAGGTGGAGGCTAAAGGATCAGGTCTTCAAGCTCATGCTCGGCCTCAGCCAGCTGGTGGTCCCCCTGGGCTACATTAGACCCTATCTCAAAACAATAAAAACAGTACATTAGAACAAGAATAAAAGCCTGGGATTGAGAGTGCTTACACTGGAGTAAGAGGCCTAAGAGATCGTCTAACAGCAAAGGCTATTTTAAAGACAAAATGATAGATCTACCACCCCTCCAATGATGCTAAATTGAACATAGCTCTATAGAACATGAACTATGATCTATATGATTGAATATAGATCTATAGATCATGCATAAATTATATATGTGAATAATTACCTTCTGAAGAGGAGTTAACAAAGACAGTTAAACAATACTTCCTCCTGCTGGTCTTAGACGATAAATCTGCTTGGAAATGTGGGTCTACTGCTGGCAGTAGAACATAATACCTGATTTTTCAAGGTCTCTTCCAGGCCTTTATTCTATTATTTTGCAATTGCCCTTTAGTTGTTTAAGTTTTATGAAATTAAAAATGTCTGAAAACAATCCTCAAGATCTTACTCATCAAACTGTATTAAGTTTAAAAACTCAACCATCAATTGATTACATTTTCCATTATAATTAAACTTCTCCAAGTCACATCAAAATTCCAAGAAACCCATTCAAAATAAAATGCATTCAAAGTAACTTTCAGATACAGGTTCAATGCAAAGCTGTATTATCACTGTTTCACAAAACCATGATACATGTTTCTATCAAAATGCACATACATGACACAGTGAGCACCATAACCTTATTTTTATTCTGACATTCTCGAGAAAGAAGTAGGGTCGCTCAGATCTGTGGTTATGTATCACCCAGTTTAAAACCTTGAAACCTGAGGACATCTCAGATAACTGAAATAACTTTCAGTATAATTTTCTAATAAATACAAAAGTGATTTATTATACAAATCATACCTCTATCGTAGGATCATATTCATCCACAAAGTGATTCTGAATTAGCTGTATCGTCAAGGCACTCTTGCCTACGCCACCAGCTCCAACTACCACAAGTTTATATTCAGTCATTTTCAGCAGGCCTTATAATAAAAATAATAAAAGTGCAACTGAATTAGAATATGTGTCACAAGATTATCAAACACTCTCAATATTTTAACAAACCTTTACATGTAAAATTGCAAGGTATTCTGAAATTCAGTAACCACAGATGTATAGCGCCATGGGGTGTACTTTGTTTACAGCTCTTCTTATGGACATTTAATAAAAATGCACGCGGGGAAGCCAGTTCTTTTATATTCAGCTTGTCTGATCTAAACAGCCAGACTACTGTTCTGTAGCAGCTAATGGCTCTCTCAAAGGAATGCATCATGACTTCTCTCAGAACAAGAATCCCACACAGTGCTCTATACCCTGTAGACACACCCGCATAAACTTGTTAACAGCTACTCCCACCCCTGCCCTTGCAGTATTCTAATTGACTCTGGCTACTAAGAGTTACCAGTAGGTGGTCTAAGAGTGTCTTTGTTGGAGCCAACAACTATAGAAAACTTTTTAAAAACCATGAGAGTAGTTCTCCCAGATAGGTAACAAAACAGGCAGGAGTCTAGTGTCAAGACTGGACTGTCCTGGAGAAATTAAAATCCAGACAATAAAACAAATAAGGGTCCTACTTGGTAACAGTTTAATCTGTCAAGTATTAGTGGGAGACACCAAGGTAAAAATAAAGAGGTACGGGAGTTTTAAGGATTTGGGATTGACTGATCAGTATAAGTGATCCAATCAATTATAATACATAATCCTATATGAGTACTGAAAGCCAATATTTCTGTACAAGAAAAAAACAGTAAAGGATGTAAATAGATCTTTCTCAGTATATGTGACTTTTACTCTGCCTGTGATATGCTGTCTCCATAGGTACAATAAATATTGGTCATTTATTCAGTTACCAGTCACAAGAGAGAAAACATCTAGTACTTTTAAAGTCAGCTATTTTAAACTTTTTGAAATAAAATGAATATACTTGTTTTTTAATCCCCATTCCCTCATATAACACGTCATTACAAGTAAAGAGTGACATGAGTGAAAAGAACAGCAATGAGCAGCAGCCATCTATTACAGGTAAACAGTGCCAGGCAATACATGTGTATATGCTGTAAATAAACAATGAATACATACAGTCTACTTACTGACGACCAAGGCTTATTCAAACAGGCACCCTGAGGAAAAAATGCAATTTGTTTTCCCAAAACACTACCCCCTTGGCCTTATGCCTCAGCCACTCCTCGGAAAGCAGCACAGGCTAGAACACTACTGTATCAGATCTCATCCAGCTCCCTGCCCTGCTCTGCCCCACCTGTCCTTCCCTGCTGCTAGTCTGGGGCCCTGCTGGGAGTTACTAACATAACTTATCTGCTAACCCCACAATTTTATAACAAATGTAGGCCATGGCAAATGGGATAGGTGAGGTGAATCGCAGGAAAATATGTCCTCTGCCCCTCCTTCCCACATAGTGTGACTAGCCTACAAGAGCAATTCAGAAACCCACTGAGCACCTAGAACTTAGTCGGCAGAACACAGGTTAGAACTATTTTCACAGTAATTGCTTTTTAGCCTTTTACTAAACTCTTACAAGCACCTGCTAGTTTTCTGAACTCTGTGATTATCATAGATTGAATGCCCATGCAGATGTGAGACTATAGATGTCTCCTAAGAAGACAGATAAACACATGTGCTGATGTGTAAAACAATGCCCCTCTTCTCATTCTTATTTTGCTTTAGAAAAGTTTTCATTAAAAAAATGTATTCATGTTACCAAGAGGCATGCTATTTCTAGTACAAAATAAAGTGAAAAAACATTAAATTGTTACATCTAATGTGGCAAATACTGGTATGCCATCAAACAAAAGATTTCTGAAACCCTAATAATTTCCAAGGGTAAGGGGGCTGGAGAGATGGCTCAGCAGTTAAGATCACTGGTTGTTCTTGCAGAAGACCCGGGTTCGAATCCCAGCACCCACATGGCAGCTAATAACAGGCCATAACTCCAGTCCCGGGGGATCTAACAGCCTCTTCTGTCCCCCACAGGCATTGCACAACTTGGGTGCAGCTAGCCACATGCAGACAATACACGCATATACATAAAAAAATTTCAAGGGTAAAAAGGATTCCTACAGACTAAAGTGTTGGCTAACTTAGGATAGCCTGTGGACAGGTACTGAACTGCATGTACTTATTTATGCACTCGTTTGGGCTATATTTTTTTAAAAAAATCCTTGAATCAGGTTTTTTAAACCTAGAAATTTAAATATTTAAACCCACTAGAAGAAACTGAGTTCCAAAGAAGTCTTAAGGAAGATGGTAAGCCAGAAAGAGGTCCCCTCCGTCAAAATTCTAAAAGGTAGCAAGGAGTGTGACTGTGATTAGTCCAACAATCTTGTTAAATAAAGCAAATACCCTGGTACCAAGTGCATTTGACGTCTGTCACACGTAGAGGTCAGCAACTTGGACCTTAGTCCAGAATGACACCTTTCATACGGTTAATTCTTTAGTAATTATCAGGAAGACGCTTCCTTGCAGAATTCCTTCTGGGGCGATTTTCCACTGCCAACAAAACAACCCTACTTCTAACAACTAGAAAATCCCGCCCTATTTTGAAGGTATTCAAGTTTGAACACCCGCTCAGGGCTGCAGACACAGCTGTAACACACAGTGTAACACACGCAGGTCTGGGAGCGCCGCTCAGTGCTCTAACCCAGTGCTACAGTGGAGCTTGGAGCCGGGTTGCGAGGCCAGGGGACAAACCCGCAAGGATGAAGGACAGGGCCGAGGGGGCATCAAACTTGAGGCGTGAGCACCGCACTCGAGGAAGCAGCCACGTTCCGCGGGCTTCGCACTGCACAAAGCAGCGCGGACCTCGGGATGAACTTTTCCGTCCACCACAGGTCCCGGGCTCCGGTGCAGGGTGCGGGCCACCTGTTCTCCATCCCCACCCCAGCCCCCCACCTTACCTCCACCCCCCCACCCCCCACCTCCACCTCCCGCTCTGGGGCCACGGCCCAGACCTGCATGGGGGAGGGGCGCAGCCCAGACGTCGGCGGCGGGTGCATCCCTCCCTCCCCAATGATGCTAACACCGCGACCTCCAGCTCGGGGCGGGGGGGGCGTCTCCACCCTGGGCGACCTCCCCGGTGACCCGCGCGTCCCCTACAAGCCACCGGGGACCGGGAAGTCGGGCCGGGCGGGCGCAGATCCGATGCCGGGAGCAGCCGAGGGTGGGGCGGGCGCCGAGGTGCGGGAGGCCGGGGCGGGCCGCAGGGCCGGGCAGCGCCGCGGGAGGAGGAAGGAAGGTGCTGTGCAGGAAGCCACGGCCTGCCGCCTCCCCCCACCCGTTCTCCCCGGTCCTCCGTTTCCCCGGTCGCCGGTTCCCCCCAGTCCCCAGTTTCTCCGGTCTTCCTGGTCCCCCGATCCTCCCGTTTCCCCCGTCCCCGGTTCCTCCGGTCCCCCCAATCCCCCTGTCTCCGGTTCCCCCGGTCCCTGGTTCCCCACAGTCTCCGGTTCCCCCCGGTCCCTGGTTCCCCACATCCCCCACATCCTCCCGGTCCCCGTTCCTCCGGTCTCCCTGGTCTCCCGATCCTCCCGTTTCCCCCATCCCCGAGTCCCCCGATCCTCCCGGTGCCCCCGTCCTCCGGTCCCCCAAGTCCCCGGTTCCCTCGGCCCCGCTTCATTCAGCGCCGGCCCCGCCCGGCCGCGCCGAGCTCGGCACCGGGCAGCGGCCCAGGAGCGCAGTCCGCGCCCTACCTCCCCGTTCCTCCGGTCTCCCTGGTCTCCCGATCCTCCCGTTTCCCCCATCCCCGAGTCCCCCGATCCTCCCGGTGCCCCCGTCCTCCGGTCCCCCAAGTCCCCGGTTCCCTCGGCCCCGCTTCATTCAGCGCCGGCCCCGCCCGGCCGCGCCGAGCTCGGCACCGGGCAGCGGCCCAGGAGCGCAGTCCGCGCCCTACCTCCGTCCGCGACGCCGAG